AACAAAAGAAACAGGATAAAATTGTCCTATTGAAAAAATCAACACTTTCTACCAGCCCCAGAGCTTCTGAGGGTTAGAGCAAAGGCAGTCCCCCATTCCTAAAGCTGGGTCCGTCCCCCATGCAAGTTTCTTACCCCATGAGCATGGCTGGGGATGGGTGAAGGGCCATCCAGGAGCCTGTCTTGAAATCAAGAGCGAGTCATTGAGAAGCGGATGGAGAAGGCCAGGCAAAGGACTCACTGTGAGCAATGATCTTGCACTTTCTAGAACTAAAACTACATAACCAGGCAAATACAGTTTTAGAAGATAAATTTTATATAAACTTCATCTTCATTATTCATGGCAGTTCCTGTTCTGTAAAGGCGCTCAGGCACTGAAGTAGCAGTTACTAGACCATTGCTCGGAGGGGAAATAAAGGGTTAGGTTCTGGGGAGCCTCTGGTTACAGCATTTTTGTTGACTGATCAATCAATACATAATCTGGTTTTATATGTGCTTCTGTTTAAAGACACCGTATTTAATATATATCATTTACTTGCTAACATTGAACTCATGGCCAGCTCTATAACTCATACCTGAACAATGTTTACATAACACCTTTTCTCTGTAAGGTAACATCACAGCCTTTATGAGTTTAGAAACTCCAGCCAGCAGTTGAGGACTATGTTTTTAAACAGAGAAATCACAAAGAAAAGGCACAAGAAGCAAAAAATGTGGCAGTAATAGGCCAGGAAAAGGACATTTGTTGCAAGAGCTGAAACAAGAAGGCAGATCGTTGGTGTGTTTGACCACTGCTGAGAGTGTCGCGTGGAGCAACTCAGATATTTTTTTTTGCCACTCGGCACGGGTCTGTGCATCATTGCAAAAGCCCCTCAAGTATTGATTTCAGGGGTTACAAATACAATTTGGGTTTTATTTTAGGTCTTTAGATAGAGTGTTTACTACTGTGCTTTATCACTTGCAAATATTCTGCATTCTTATTTTATATGCATTCAATATTATGTAATTTTTTTATTTATTAAAAATAAAATTTCTGCCCTCAAGGGCTCCCAGTCTGCTGCTGAGGCGTGTGTGGTAATCACACTCTTCTTTCCTCTGGGTTTCAACCAACTGAGAAACTGACCCATGGCTAAAAGTTTATTCAGCTTTATTGTTGACATAGCTGGATTTTGAAAAAGTGGAAACCAAATCATTTTCTCCTTCTAATGCAAAACAGAGGTCCCCTGCTGACCTTTCCCCAAGTGGCAGGGTCTACCTGTCACCAGGGTGGGGGATAGAGGAGAGAAACCATGGAAGGGAAAGAGGGGGCCCTCCTTCCTAGGGAGTGGAGTGGGCATCCCCTGGATGAGGCACACCCAAACTACTGAGATGCAGAGCAGGGGAAAGAAATGTTTGATTTGGGGGATTACAAATGAATTTTGAGTAGGTGAATTCACAAATATGAAATTTATGAGTAAAGAGGACTGACTGTATTTTGACAGAGAGAACCCAAAATGTACGTTTTGCAAGTGTATTTGTGTTTGTGTTCTTGTGAAGTTTGCTCAGCGTTCAAAAGTTCTTTCGATGAATTTGTAGGGGAGAAAGTGGTCTCCCCGTCCTATTCCTCCACCATCTTAGCTCTTCCCATGTGTTTGTGTTCGTAAGAAAGGGTTAAGGAGGATATACAATACAGGAGGCAATACGTGAGCAGTAGCTTTCTCATCTTTCTTGGTAGATTAGGAGGAGCTAGAATAGAAACACTAAACAGAACAGAAACTCTCTCTGAGTCATATACCAGTACATAGAGGCTTAAATATTTATTTTTAAACCAAAAAAGTAATCACCAGAAGAGCTAGAAGTAATTTTATAACTAATAAAAATCAGGAGGAAAAAAATCAGGAGGTAGACACTGGATCAGAGAGAAGTACTGAGTGTGCTAATGCCCTCATCATTCATATCAGAAAGTCATTAGACACCGTCTGGAGTTAACTCAAGCAAGGACTGGGGCATAATAAGGAAAGACAACTGTTCTGACAAAGGTCAGCATGGCAGAATTTATTTTCTTTTTTTTCAGAATTTGAAAATATGCTCCACAACAGTCTGAAATATGGTTTCCAGATGCCCCATACTCCTTGCCAGGAGTTCACAATGGAGCATAACTAAATCTGAATAAATATACCTACGTCTGGAGCACTTCTGCATGTAGCCCACTGACCTACAATCCACACACTGACATCCCGTAAAATAGAAAAAAAAGGATTTCATATAAAGTTATAGAGATCAATGCCAGAAAAATTGAAGTGGGCTATAAACTTCCCAGTGTGAGAAAGAAAATACAAATGGATAAAAACATAAAAGAGCAACAGGCAAAATCCACATAGCAAAAGCAATGGCCTTTTCCAGAGCACAATGCCATTATAAACATAACTAAGACATTTAAAAATACTTGAAGTCACAGCAGTTCTATCAAGTGAAAAATAAATATTTACATGTTCTGCCCTTCTTGCCTTTCAGTAACTGTCAACTTTAAGGGCTTCTAGAAAGGACCCAGCAGGCCAAAAAGAGCACCCATCCCGTAGACATTAAAGTTGGCAGTTGCTGCTGAAAAACAGCTCTGGCCCCAAACTTCAGGACGCATCTCTGAGCCTTGCAAGTACTCAGATACATGGCTTTATGACACATTGACCTAGTATTGCTTATTTGGTTCAAAATGAACAAACACAGTAAATAAGCAATCTCCTTCTTTGGAAAGGGGGCTCTATCTTCCCCAATATGACCTCATTCATAATTAATCTCCACCACATAACTCTCTTGGGCTGGTATGTAAAGAGCAAAAGATGACATAACTTCCCCAGGCCACGTGGTGAGTTGGTCACACAACCAGGAACAGAACCCAGTTTTACTGACGGCAAAGTCCCACAGGCTCAGCCCCACCTCACCACTCTTCCTTTGCAATAAAATGATTACTTGAACAGTCAATTATTTACTGTTGGGCAACTATAAGCACCAGATAAGTTTCAGTCCAGGTTTTCCTGCAACAAGCAATCTACAGGAAGGGGGAAATGAAAGGGGCCAACTGATGGCGAAAATGTTTACATAGATGAATAAGTCCTGGGTGTATAATGCACAGCATGGTAGTTAAAAATACTGTATCGTATATTTGAAATTTATTGAGAGTTGATTTTAAATGTTCTCTTCTCACACATACACACGGTAACTAGGTGAGGTAATGAGTGTGTTAACTAACCCTATTGTGGTAATCATTTCTTAGTATATATAATATAAAATGATGTCATACACCTTAAACTTACTCAATATTATTTGTCAGTTATGTCTCAATAAAGCTGAGGAAAAAAAAGAAAAAGATGGTATTTACATTACGAGCAGGCCTCACTGCACAATCTACTAGACAGTATAAAGTAAAAGGAGGAATATGTGATATGGGGGCTCAATTTTTTAAAATTATTCATTTATTTATCTATGTCTTCACTGGGTCTTTGTGGCTTTGCAAGAGCTTTCTTTAGTTGCTGCAAGTGGGCACTACTCTTTTTTGGGGTGCACAGGCTTTTCACTGTGGTGGCTTCTCTGGTGCAGAGCACATGCTCTAGGAGCACGGGCTTGGGAGTTGGTCCATGGCATGTGAAATTTTCCCAGACCAGGGATAAAACCTGTGTCCAGATGGATTCTTATCCACTTCACCACCAGGGAAGTCCCTAGGGCTCAATTTTTAACCATGTCTTTTCTAGGGTAAGAGATTTCAAAGCCTCCTTAATTTTTTTGTGTGTGTCCTTGCTGGGTCCACGGGTGGCATGCAAGCGGCCTATCACTCATCACCGTCCTTAATTATTTTGCTCTCAAGTTATCCCAGATCTGGTCAATGGAAGCCCCTTCAAGATGATTCCTGTGTCCCTGTGACATGTTTTTAAACACTATCTCAATTTTTGCCATAATGAGATGCTTTAAGCTCTTCTTTTTTAAAAAAAAATATATGTATTTATTTATGGCTATGCTGGGTCTTCATTGTTGCATGGGCTTTTTTTTAGTTGCTGTGAGAGGGGGCTACTCTGTAGTTGTGATGCTTGGGCTTCTCATGCCAGTGGCCTCTCTCACTGTGAGGCACAGGCTCTAGGGTACATGGGTTTCAGTAGTTTCAGGCTCTACAGCATGGGCTCAATAGTTGTGATGCCCAGGCTTAGTCTCATGTGGGATCTTCCCAGACCAGGGATCAAACCCGTGTCTCCTGCATTGGCCGACGGATTCTTTACTGCTTAGCTACCAGGGAAGCCCTTTAAGCTCATCTTAAGTGGTTCTGTTTACATCCCCAGAATTTCTTTGAAGGCCATTCTTCAAGTCCAGTCAGCAGGGTGAATGCTTAAAGATGATGTTTGAGCAAAGAAGGAAAGGCCCGAGAAAGGCCACCATGGCTAACAGTTTCAGATGCGTTTGAAAGGTGCAGAGCCAGGCACACCATGTTCTCCACCACCACTGCAGTTGGGAGCTGTGGACAAGGAGAGATGCTTGGACCCTACAGATTCAGTTACTAAGTCCTCTACTATGTGCTGGGCACAGTGATGGATATGTGAGATTAATCATAAGCCACCATTCCAAGGAGACTGTGGTCCTATGGGATAGACATCCATATAAAGCAACATCCATAGTACATCCCTAAAAATGTCTTCACTGGGCTGTCATTGTGGCACAGAGAGGAGCTGGGGAGTTCTGGGTTGAAAGACAGACAGTAATTAAGGCTGGGAGAGTTGGAGAAGGCTTCACTAAGGTAGCTTTTGGGTTATACCTTAAAAGAGTGTAGGATTTAAAAAAAAATTATTTTCTGCATGAAAAAGAAGACACTACTTAACTCTAAATCAGATATGATGTTTAAACTTCATTCAGCTAGATCCAGCCTCTTGCTAGGTACCGTAGGACACATGGAAAGAACTCCAGTGAGTGTAGGACAGAACTCTTGTTTGATGTCTGTCTAAGGAAAGAACTGTCATGATACCATCTAATTTTTATTTTCAGACACAGGTGAAACATGTCCTTCATTTACCAAACTGAGTTTTCACAGTGCAGTGGTTGGAACGGGACTAAATGTGAAGCTGATGCTCTACACAAGGAGAAACCCAACCTGCGCACAAGCCATCAACTCCACAGTTTTGGGGAACTTGAACGTAACTAAGAAAACCGCCTTTGTGGTCCATGGATTCAGGCCGACAGGCTCTCCTCCAGTATGGATAGAGGACTTAGTAGAGGGTTTGCTCTCTGTGGAAGACATGAATGTGGTTATTGTTGATTGGAATCGAGGAGCTACTACTGTAATGTACAACCATGCTTCTAGTAAGACCAGAAAAGTGGCAACAGTCTTGAAGGAATTCATCGATCTAATGTTGGTAAGGAGAAATTCTCTTAGATGGTTCAGAGCCAAATTGAAATTGGCTCATTATCTGGATATTTAAAGCCAAGAGATATCTACATGACCAGGAGGACTATTTTTGCAGTGTTTTGCAAATGTTAGTTGAATAAGCCCCCGGGAGGGTGTAGGGAAGGGTTGAAGGTAAGGTCCATAGGTATGGCTGTTCAGGTTGTGCACTGCACAGGGAATCAATCTATGCACCATCGTCTCTGTAGACATTGTAGATTTATATATCTATTATAATAATTTTCTAGTGAATGACAGCAAAGTGTCCTGGGGAAGGGACATCTTTTTCTAACTCATATAAATTTACCTAATGGGTTGGAGAGGTTTCCTGGCTTCACTGCCCAGAGTTTCCTCAACTTTCATAGCTCTTCCTTTTCTTAGACTTGCCAAAAGTTTAGCGATCAGATTATCCAAAACCCAAACTGAAATACCCAATCTGATAAAAAGTGATTTGATATCGGGGCTATTTCAGAGAGCCGTATCTGGTGGCCACTGTGGCCAGGGGTGACATAAATTTTACATGAGCTCCTCAGCTAAGCCACAGCCCTTGGGAAAGGGAATATTAAAATGACTCTTGACCAGCTATCCTAGGACTATGGACAATATGCCCTGCCCCTTTCTTTCCTTCCTTCCCTCTCCATGGTAATTCATTAACCAAGCCAGCTTGAAGATAAAGGAGTTCATTAAAATATTTGATTGCTCTTCTTCTCAATGGGGAAGGCTTTAAGATGTCTCAGCTTGGTTCCTAGCAGAAGCACGAATGGAGACACCATGGTATAAAAATTAAGGCACAGGTTTGTATTTGGACAGACAAGTTTGAATTCTGTCCTGCCCCCTCCTAGAAGCTGTTTGACCTTGGGAAGATGACTTCAACCTGGTCAGTTAGTTTCCTCATCTGTATAATCAAAAGAATAGCTTCTAGTTTGTGGGGGTGTTGTGACATTTTAATAAGATAGTGGACATAAGGTGCTTAGAAATATTTCTCCAAAGTCAACAGTTAGGAAATTTCTCCAGGTATTGTCAACTCCTTGGCCCCTCACAATTTTTAACAATGGACCTCTTGAAATTCTAGGCAGAAGGAACTTCTCTGGATGACATTTACATGATTGGAGTAAGTCTAGGAGCCCACATAGCTGGGTTTGTTGGAAAGATGTATGATGGCCAGCTGGGGAGAATTACAGGTAAGAGTTACAGGTAAGGCTTCCTGTGAATGGGCACAGGATAACCAGCCCGTGGACTGTGTTTCCTGGGGGAGCATGATACAGGAAATCCAAGTCCTTGGGTTCCAAGTCAGCTCTTCCAATTAGTTAACCACTCTGAGCAAAATGTCCTCTTGTGCAAAGGGAAGACCATAGTAGTAACTGACTCCAGCAGTATTAAATTTATTATTTAATAAAATATGTGCAAACACTTTATTAATTGTGTGTGCTGTAGAAAAGTTTGGTGCTGACTTTATTTCTCTTATGGCTACAGAAACAACTATGTCACATGATGGGGATTTTGCCCCAAGCTGATGGCCTTCCTTTCATTTAATCCAAGATTGTTTAAACTAGTATCTAATATAGCCCCAGGCATAGCTGGAGCCTCAGGGTAGGAAAATGAGATGAGAATTATGTTGTCTGGAGCTTACTCTGTGACTATCAGCTGTCAGACCGAGACTGAAAAAAACCCTCAGAAACACAGCAGGTGAAACTCCAAAGAAAGATCCCCTTGCTGGGTTCACTTGCCTAGTGCTCAGTAACTTTCCACAGTGACAGATGAAGGGCTGAGGGAGGCTTTCTCTTCCAGAGAGGCAAAGCTTCTGGCCATCCATATCTTTTCCAGCATCGATCCTTACACTGAGATAGCCATTCCAAATCTAGGCAATCTGGAAGACAGAAGTGAATGGAAGGAGGTAGGGGAAAGGTAAATGATTCAAACCAACTACAATTGAGAGGTAACCCTTTAGAGTCACAGGACTGAATGTGGTATTTAACTTGACATGTGGCCCTGGGCTAGTGTTCTGCACCCCCCCTCCGCCCCGCCCCCGCCCCCCCCCCCACTTCGGTCGGTCTGTCTGTCTGTCTCTCTCACATACACATGTACTCCACATTGGCTGGGTGTCTTCTAACCCTGGTACTTGAGGTCACATTTTTTTTTTTCCTGGGCTATTTTTTTTTCCCTCACTTTCACCCCGAATGCCAAGGTTGCCCTCATGTTATTCACCTGCTTTCCTAGGGAAGCAAAATGTTTTTTTCAGTTTTTTAAAAAATATTTATTTATTTGGTTGTCCTGGGTCTTAGTTGTGGCACAAGGAATCTTCGAGCTTAGTTTCAGCATTCAGGATCTTTAGCTGCAACACGCAAACTCTTAGCTGAGGCAATGTGGAATGGAACCTGGGATCCCTGCATTGGAAGCGTGGAATCTTGGCCACTGGACCATCAGGAAAGTCCCTCTTTTTCAATTTTTAAAATTATTACTATAATGTTTTAGAAGGCAACACGTGTTTACTTTTTAAAAATTCATTTTTCCTTATGGGTACAAAGGACAAATGGCTCAAATTTGCTTGTTTTCTTTATCTGTTGGGAGCTTCTCCTCTGGGAGCCGGGACTTTTCCCAGTGGTGTGTTTAGAAGCTGATCAGCTCTCCACACAAACACACACACACAAATAAATTTATAGCATTTGCTGATTCTATGATGTAAATACTCCCACTGTGGCTGATTTTAAGCTACTGACCTGACGTCACGGACCAGAAAGTTTGGGGAGAGAAAAGCTAAATGGACTGTCCAGTGTTAGCACTGGGGGCTCTAGCCCATCACTGCCTTATTCTATCTACCCCCTAATTTTGCTCCTCAGCCTCCCAGCAAGCCTGTTCCCACAACTACTTTGGATAGAAATACAATGTAACCTGGCCTCTGACCAGGAAATTCCCCAAGCCAGCTTCCCCTCCACCCTGGGCCCATGCGGCTCTGCTTTGTGACCTGGACTCAGCCCACAGTCTGCAGCTCGATTTTCTGTCTCCTCTGACTGCCCCGTGTTCTCCCAGTCCCTCATCCTCACTGAGCCCCAAAGTCAAATTCACCTGTTTCCAAGTGCTTGTCTCAGGGGTAAAGTGTTTCCCTTCCCCACTCACCTCCGACTGCCCTTCCTGAGTGAGATCACTGGATTGTGGGGCTGGAAAGACATAATTCACTCCCAACTCCTAAGAACCGGGCAGTTCTGCTTGCTAACTATCTAGGCCAGAGTGTCTGCTTCATCTCTTTCATTTCCCCTTTTGTCTTCTGTTCTTGCTTTTTCTTTTCCTCTCCAAGCACATCTCCTGGTATTACTTTTCATTAATTTCTTCAAACAAAGATAAATAGGTTTAAAAACATTTCAAGTACCTACATCACTTGATAATACATTAAATTTGATTCGTATGAAAATCATCTTGGAGTGTTGGATACAATACTGACATGCTGAATCATGATCTCTGGTCTTGGGATCCAAAAGTCTGTACTTTTATTTACTTTTTAAAAAGTAACTTAAGCCTAGTTTTCTTATCTTTTTAAAAAACATTTAATTAATGTATTTATTTGGCTGCACTGGGTCTTTCTTATTTGGGTCTTTGTTGTGGCATGTGGGATCTAGTTCCCTTACCAGGGATAGAACCAGGGCTCCCTGCACTGGGAGTGTGAAGAATTAGCTACCGGACCACCAGGAAGTCCCAGGAGTCTGCTTTTAACCAGAAGATTTAGGTGGCCTGAATGCCATACATTAAAAAATGACCACAGATCTGTGTTGTCCAATATAGTAGCCATGAGCTGCATGTACCATTGAGTACCTGAAATGTAGCTAATGCAAACTGAGATGTGCTATAAATACAAAGCACACACTGGATTTTGAAGAAAAATATATTTAAAATTTTTGAAAAATATATTAAAATATATGAAATGTCTTATTAAAATGAAAGATATATTAGAATATATTAAAATATGAAAAATTTATGAAAATATATAAAAGTTTCATGAAATTTGAAGTTTATGAAAAAATATGTTAAAAATATACCTTAAATATATTTAAAAAATTGGATTTTTTATATTCATTACATGTTGAAATGAAATTTTACTGCTATATTGGGTTAAATAAACTGGGTTAAATAAAATGAATAATTAAAATCAGTTTTCTTTGTTTTTCACTTTTAAAAAGTGGTTGCTAGAAAATGTTAAACTATATATGTGGCTCACATTATATTTCTATTAGATAGTACTGCCTTGGAGAGTTAGTTCATGGTAACCTTTGGGATGGGAGTAAGGGAGGCTCCTAAAGCCACCTGTAATACATTGGACATTTGTCCTGGGAAGAGGTCTGATGTCCAGGGCTTTCATCAGATTCTCAAACTGGTTAATTTTGTGATCAAAACCAGGGATCACTAGCTAGACACTTTGCTGGCGATCACAGAGCAACAAGAAAGAGCTCCATTTTGTTGGTTTTGTTTCTGTTCTGTAATAATCTCAGTATTCTGAATTTAGATCTAGGAGTGCCTTGGTAAGCCTTCTGAAGTAGCAAGTAATTCTACTTCTGTTTTGCAGATAAGGAAACTGAGGTTCAGGGAAGTGAAGTAACCTGCCTAAAATCACACAGCTGGTTAATGCTAGGTTTGGGACTCATGTCACTTCTATCCAACTTCAGTGATCTCTGCTCACACAAAATATGCAGCTTTTTAAGGATAGTCTGTGATTTCTGGCTGACGGTGTAAGCTGATCATTTGCTATGACTTTTCTCTAAGGAGATCATATGTCCAAGTTTACTGTGACATTCCTCATTTGTGTCTTCAGTCCTGGCATAATTATTAATAGCAGCTTTATCACTTTTCAAATTGCCCTGGTTTGGACTTTATACCGTAAGCCAGTCTATCAGCCATGGATCTGGAGGCTGCTATAAACTGAGGCTCTTACTGTTCATTTTCTCAGACAGGAAGTGCTGCTGTTTTATGTGAGGAGGGGGAGGCTTCCCCAGCAAGGTATTTCTGAGGTTCTGAGTTTCTCATGCTTGATAGGGTCCACATGGGGTCTCACTGATAAGACAGCTCGCTCATTATGTCAACCAAGCCAACAAGGAATAAATCACAGTGATCCTTGAGACTGACCAAATTGCCCAGATGGCATCGTGTTATCTCATTAGCACCTGTCTTCTCAAAGCTGTGGAATCTTCTCAGATTCTAGACCTCCGCTGCATGACCATCCCCTCAGAGAATTTTTCAATGGTGGGGTATAAGAAGGACTCTGTCAGAAAGGGAGGATGCTGGTCCTCCTTAAAAGCCAGTCACCCTCTCTTTTCCCTCTAATAAATTTCCCTTTTCTTGCCTGACTCGCTGTCTTTTTCTCTGTACTTGCCTTAAAATGCTGTGCTGATATCCTATGGACTTGGGTACCTGGTTATTGATCCACCCCTCCCACATCAGTTTCAGCTGGGAGCAGACAGAAGAGGAAGAAAAATTGGGGGAGAAAAAGACAGGGAGATAAGAAAAGGAGGCAGATAATGATATACCTCAAGGAATCTAGGGTGTTAGCTTGGGAGAAATGGAGAGACTGGGGCTAGAACCAGGACTGCTGAGGCAAAGATACTCTCTCTTGGGTTTTATAGCACTGGGGATAGGAGATGTCATTTAAAATGACCTTCATAGATAAAAACTTGGGGGGACATCCCTTGAAACCGTTTCCACTCCAAGTAAGTTTCTAGTTAGTAGGGCCTTTGGGATCTTCTGGTGTTTTTAGTGTGTGGTTACATCATCACAGGAGCTGCTCTCTTGTTTTGACAGCTGTTTCATAATGATGGTGAGGAACATCCCACTGACATTGACCAAGAGCAAGGAATCAGTTCAGGCATTTATGGAGTGGGTTAATTGTGGAGGAACTGGCACACACAGCTTTATTTCCCTCCTCCATACCTGGTCTAATGCCTGGCCTGACCAATGAGTCTCACACTTTCCCACTCAGGTTGCCAAACCCAATTAGTGGAAATAAAAAGCTCAGCAGAGAGAGCTGGTTGCATTGTGAGACTGTTGCTCCGGTTAAGACACTTGAACCTCAGTTCATTCACATGTAAAATAGGAATGACAATAGCTACCTTGCCTCCCTCCCAGGCTTCTGATGTAAGCTGGTAAATGTGAATAAAAATGGAAACAATAAAGGAGTTTTTTTAATAACAAGGAAGAGAAGTGAAGTTCTAGGTTATTTAAAATGGGATAGACATAAGTAGTGGGTTTACTTCGTATATGCAGCCTTGGGATGCTTTTTTCCCTGAGGAACCAGTTTATCCCCGTCACTGGTCCCCACCTGTCTGTGCACTCCCTACTGTGGGGCCCACACAGGTACACCTCCAGGGAATTCTTTGGCAGGCCAGTGGTTAAGACTTCAAGCTCCCACTGCCAAGGATGTGGGTTTAATCCCTGGTCGGGGAACTAAGCTTCCACAGGCCACGTGGCTCGGCAAAAAGAAAAAGGTGCACCTCCAGAGGGAGTCTGGCTGCATTCTCAAGGGGGTGCTGCGAGGGTGACCACCTCCACTGTGGGAAAAGGCCATGGGACCGTGGAAAGGAGCCTGACACAGCAGGATGGGAATGCGAGTGCCTGACCACCAGGGGTGCCCTGCGGCCTGTGAACCATCCTCACCAGGACGGATCAAAAGCCCGCTGCAGGTGACTCATGGCGTGGCGCTGCCAAGCCAACTCTGTTTGCCTTGCAGGTCTGGACCCTGCGGGCCCTTTATTCAACGGGAAACCTCCAGAGGACAGATTAGATCCCAGAGACGCACAATTCGTTGATGTCATCCATTCTGACACAGACGGTAACATTCTTGTCTTTGTGGGTCAGTGACCACCCCCACCCCCCCAAACTCCCAAAGAGTCTCTCCCTGTGGGGGTGCTCATGCAGAGGCGGATCAGGTTCCTCCAGATTTCCTCTTTACCTACAGGGCAAGCTTCCAAATCCACAGGAAGATTGAAGGGAAGTGGTTTTATGCAGGCATCTAGGACCTCCTGAAGGAGTGGGGGTGCCCTTCTCATCATCTCTTATTTGTAAAGTGATCGTCTTGACCCATCAAGGAAGGAGGGTCTGGTTTGCACACCATGGACAAATGTTTCCATAAGTGCAACTCGGTTTGGATGCATGATTTTCTGCATTTTTGTTTGTTCTTTCTCATTATTTCCTTAAATTGAAAGATTAAGTTAAGCATTGTGTCTCTCCACACAGAACATTTCCTAAAAGATATATATATATATATATATATATATATATATTTGGCTGCTCCCTGTCTTAGTTGTGGCATGTGGGATCATTTCCTAAAAAAAAAAAAAAAAAAAGTTATATATTTATTTGGCTGCTCTGGGTCTTGGTTGTGGGCGTGTAGGATCTAGTTCTCTGACCAGGGAATGAACCTGGGCCCCCTGCACTGGGAATGCAGAGTCTTAGCCACTGAATCACCAGGGAAGTCCCCACACAGAGCATTTCTGAACTGCCTAGACCTCTCCGGCTCTCTGTAGATCTTCCTGGCTATTTCTGTCTTTCATGGTGTTGATTTCATTTCCGATACTGGGTGCATAATGTGGGGATTGGGCTGATGTTAAAAGTGGGTCTTTATATCCAGATGTCTGGGAGGAGAGCTGGAGTAGGCACTTAGGGCGGGGAGAGGGGACAGAATGACAGAGTGGTCATTCAGTAGTACATTCCCTTTGTGATACAACCACCTGAAAAACCCTTGACTGGCCATCATGGACACTCTGGGGTGGTATTGTGTGCCTTAGAATAAATGTCTCTGTGAAATGGCTTGTTTTACTATGTAGCATGTGAAGTGTTATCTAATTTGGATGCAGTACCTCATTGCCATTTTAATTCTGGATGGCACAAGAGTAATTTATTTTTTGTTCTTGGAAAGAAAGTAAATGAGGAAAAAAGTATGAGTTTTGCAGTCAGGCAGAGGTGGACTCAAACCCCAGGTTTTGTTCTTTCTGGTGGCGTCATGTTTGTTCCGTAAGTCCTCTGAGCCCCAGAATCTTCATCTGTAACTTACTTCATCTGGATTTACCAATGGTTACTCTTCAGACATTGTGAATACTAGAAGAAAACTGTATAAAACCCCTAGTATCACACCCACGGACACATGTAGTGTCTCAATATATAATAGTGGGCTTCCCAGGTGGTGCTAGTGGTAAAGAACTTGCCTGGCAATGCAGGAGACATAAGAGATGAGGGTTGGCTCCCTGGGTTGGGAAAGTCTCCTGGAGGAGGGCATGACAACACACTCCAGTATTCTTGCCTGGAGAATCCCCATGGACAGAGGAGCCTGGAGGGCTCTAGTCCATAGGGTTGCAAAGAGTTAGACATGATCGAGCATGCACGCATATTATTATTGCAATGATACACTATATATGTGTGTATACATATATACACATACATTCATATATATAATCTTTTAATCAAGGATTTTTTGTATTACTTTGGAGTTACAAGGTTAAACAGAATAAGCAATTATTAAATCTATCTATAATTTTCTAGGTCTCCATTTTCTAGAAGAGTTTCCAACCTTTTAACTGTCCTAGATCCACCAGTTTTAAGGGTTTCTCCTACTAAGTGAAGGTTTCCTGTTTCTTATTCATTAAACATTTACACAAATGCAATTAGAGGCTCAGGAAGCACCCAGCAATAAGAGTGTTCCAGCCAAATATAAACATGAAACTTATCATTTTATCAGTAATGAGTGAATGAGGGCCAAAACTCTCATTTTCAGAAATATCAGACACAAATTCTGTTACCAGCTTCCTAGTCTCTTACTTGGAAATCCCAGCTTTCTAGCTATCTGGTTGCTGTGCTGTACTTAGTCGCTCAGTTGTGTCTGACTCTTTGTGATCCCATGGACTGTAGCCCGCCAGGCTCCTCTGTCCATGGGGATTCTCCAGGCAAGAACACTGGAGTGGGTTAAAACTATCTGGCTAACTTTGGACAAAATATTTAAATAGGTATAATGACAACAATAGCAGCAATGACAAGAATAAGACAATCCCTGCCTATATCCTGTTACAGGCAAATGAGCTATGAGATGCGAAGAGTTCAAAGCAGTATGAAAGCATAGTATATTCTCTTTTAGCACTGGGCTACAAGAAACCATTAGGAAACATAGACTTCTACCCAAATGGAGGATTGGATCAACCTGGTTGCCCCAAAACAATATTTGGAGGTAAGTACAGATCTTTATATTGTGCCAAACAGTGGTTTTAAAAGGGTGTATTTTAAAAATCTGATTATCATTCTATGTGGGATTTTTTTTTTAATATTTATTTATTTGGCTACTTCGGGTCTTAGTTTCGGATCTTCCTTGCTTCATGTGGGATCTTCTTTTGTGGCACTTGGACTTTCTTTTCTTGCTGTGAAGCTCAGCTCTCTACTGAGGCACTCCAGTTCTGGAGCATGCAGGCTCAGCAGTTGTAGCACACAGGCCTAGTTGCCCCATGGCATGTGGGAATATTAGTTTCCCCAGCAGGGATCGAACCCTCATCCCCTGCATTGCAAGGTGGATTCTTAACTACTGGACAGACCACTAGGGAAATCCCAATGTGAAATTGTTGTGGTTTTTTTTTTTAAGATTTATTTTTTGGCTGTGGTATGTCTTCACTATTGCACTCAGGCTTTCTCTAGTTGCAGTGCATGGGACTTCTCATTGCAGTGGCTTCTTTTGTCGCAGAGTACCAGCTCTCGGTCCTCGGGCTTCAGTAGCTGCAGTGTGTAGGTTCAGTAGCTGTGGCTCATGGGTTCTAGAGCTCAGGCTCAGCAGTCGTGGAGCAAGGGTTAGTTGTTCTGCTGCATGTGGAATCTTCTTGGACCAGGAATCGGACCCATGTCCTTGGAGTGCAAGGTGGGTTCTCAACCACTGACCACCAGGGAAGCCCTGTGGAATTGTTATTAACTGAAAACAAATTTTCTGAGATGATAGAGGTGGTCCAACTATAAATTATAAATAAAACATGACTACTTAAATATACTACTTTAAAAAAGCATAACCATATGATTAAAAAACTTTTATGAATTATTTCTCTGTCTTGAAAAGGTACGTCTTTGACTCAGACATTCCATATCTGGCAATCTTTCCTAGAGGAATAATGGAAAATGCAGTAAAAAATCAGAGTGCAAAGATGTTCAACACAGGATTATTTATAATAGTTTTTAGAAATAATCTAAATCTCCAACATAGGAAAATTATTAAATAGCATGGCACACCCTAAGCAAAGGGATATAATTCTTAAAAAACATATCGTTAGTTTAATGAAAATATTTCCAATATAAAATATTTACAGGTGAAAAAGAGACAAAATTAAACAGCATAATCCTAGTTTGTTTTTTAAGTGTATATTTGGACATGTGTAAGTATAGAAAAAAAGACTAAACATTAAATTCTCCAAATAATTATTAGTGGTGATTTCTGGATATTGGGTTTCTAGGTGATTTTTAGGTCATAATTTGCTATTATGTTATATTTTCTGAATGAGCATGTGTTAGTTTTACAATGAGAAAAAACTCACAGAATAGATAGAGGACAACTTTAAAGTGTGATGAGGGGACAGAATTTTAAAAAAACCCTAAGTGCTCTGAGTCTGTATTGCACAATTATTAGATATAACTAAACAAGCATGGAAATAATTCTAGAAAAAAAAATGATCTTGATACAAAAATAAGAGCTGTATATGATCCCATGGAAGTGATGTAGTATTTGAAAACAATCCAGATGAAATGGCGTGAAGTAGGGCAACCATACTGTACTACAAATAGTGTGTTCAATTGTACCATAAATGGTATGTGTTCAAATCCTGTCCTGTGTGCTGTAGTGTAACAACATCCATGAACAGCCAAAGATAATGTGCTTTCTCTAAAGGACATCCTCCATAGTGTTATTAACTCCATTGTTTCTGCAAGTGGAGGTTCCAGGAACAATAATTAAACGTTGATTTGTCAGATTTTACTCCAGCCAGCCTGGCTGCATGCTTCTCTCTTTTGCCCAGTTTACTTCTTTTTGTCCTTCACTAATTCCTTCTATGGACATACATGGACTCTGGAGGAAGAAGAAACGTTGATCTGACTCCAGCACCCAGTGCCTCTTCAACTACTGGCTCATAATTACAACTCCTCTGTTATGTGGTTCACTGTCTGTTATTTAAAAATTCTTATTTGAGTACTCGTCTTTGGGACCCGGTTCCCATTTCTATGTAACTTCACCATCTGACTTGTCGACCTTCTGACAAACCTCCCTGTACTCCAGTCCTTCATCAGCTCCAACTCTTCTGCGCTTCATCACCCTCCTCTCACCATCGCACCACATGGCACCCGCCAAGAATTCACCTGCATTTGTCTGTCACCTCTTCTTGCCCATTTCTGGCTTTCAGTGCCACATCCTATTGTTCGGCTCCTCTCACTTCACCTTTCACCTTTGTAGCAGAACTGGAGCCCCTGCCACTTATCTGCTCTCATGAGCGCCCTGTGCACCCCCAGGCCCTTAGGTCTCTGCCATGTGAGCCCCTATCTTTGCTTGGGCACATTCTGGAGAAGTCATGGATTCTTGTTGATCGAGTACAAGGTCCAGGCAAACTTGTTCACTTCTCCATGGCCCTCAAGACCCTCTGTAATGCCAGAAAAGCCTCGTGCTTATCTCCCGCTGACTTCCTTATGATCACCCCTTGTGCTTCTATTCCAAATACCTCCCAAGCTATAAACCCACACCTCTCAGAGCTGAGTTAGCTTTGACTTTTGTACCTTGATCAAGGTCCCACCTGAAGGAGCCTTTTTATCTATCCTAACCTTAGATCACAAAGTTGGTCTTTATATCCATTTCTCCATCCAACCCTGGGGGGAAGCACCCTCCATGCTTTTTTACAGCTACCTCCTCTCTTTGCCCTTCTTGGGGGGGTCTTTCTCTACCAGTTGCTCCCCAATGCCTTCTTTCTCTGACATCTTTACTGGTTTAAATGTGCTTCTTTCTGCTAAAAACCTCCAAGGGACCTCTGACTACCCTGACATTTCAGTGACAAAGAAAGGACAAAGTCAAATCCTTGAACATCTCTGAGTCTCAATGTCCTGTCAGGTAAAATAGGGATAATCATGCCTCTCTTGTCACTTACTGTTTGTCAGCATGAATCCTGATCTATTGGGTTTTGTAAAGATTAAATGGAATCAAGTACACTGGAGCCATTAGCACAGTGCCTGGTGTGTAAGAGACATAATCAATTATATGGATGAACAATATACAAGGGACTTCTCCAGTGGTCCAGTGTCTGGGACTCTGTGCTCTCAATGCTGGGGTTCAGGGTTCAATCCCTGGTTGGGGAGCTGGATCCCACATGCCCCAACTATAGATCCCATGTGCCACAGCTAAGACTTGGTGCAGCCAAATAAATTTTACAAAGAACAAAAAACAATATGCGATGCACTATTTATTACTAAATGCTATAACTATTCTTTGATTATTCCTTATACAACCAAGGAATGCAGTATTTTAAGTGTGACCACCAGAGGTCCGTGTATCTGTACCTTTCTTCCTTGAGAGAGAACTGCGCCATCACCGCGTATCCCTGTGACTCCTACCGGGATTATAGGAACGGCAAGTGCGTCAACTGTGGCATATCACAGACGGAGCCCTGTCCTGTTCTGGGTAAGTCCAGCCAGCAGTTTCCCACTCTGATTAACAAAGAGCTAATTTCTGGTAGGATCCCAGCACCATTTTAACTATCTAAAAAGGGGCCTGAATATCCTGTGTCTTAATTTCCTTAGCTTTTTCTAGCCAATAATTCTGTGAAGTACTCTGGAGTCTCCTGATACTAAAGAATGTTAGAAAAGCAATCTACATAGGATTTCATCCAGAAGGGAGTGCCACCTCCCTGGATGCTTTATTCTAGCAAGAAAAAGAAGGTTCCAGAAGAGTTTCATCTTACGCAGTCTACTCCCGTAGGGTTAGGAACACCCTTCTCCAGGCATACAAGCTCTCTGCTAAGGGAGGGTCTTACAGGGTGACTCCTTCTAACAAGTCATATCTGTTAATGCTCCCACATCACACTCCAGTGTTCTGTGCATGTACACAAATACAGGGTGAGCTGTAGTAATGACCATGGAGGCTACTTGGATATTTGCTAAGGGTTAGTGGAAATATTCCAGGTGGTGAATGAAGACTTCGCAACTAAATTGTCATGACAATTTTCTAATTGTTCCCAAAGGAAAAACTCAAGTTAACATCAGGGCAGGCTATAGAGAAGGGGTTCTCAACCTTGACTGTATATTTGAATATAGAGCTTTTAAAAAATATTGATGCCTGGGTCCCAGAATACAGAGGCCACTCCCTAAGCAGTGGGAAAAGGTGGGAGAGAGAGGTTCCAACGCCAGCCCTTAGCCTCATTCCTGCTGGCACAGTCACAAAGAAGGACATTCTCTTGCCTCTTGACATAATCACATGGCCATTCCAAGTTCTGTGCAGTTTAGGGGCCCAATTATAGTTCTTCAAGAAAGTGCATTGTTTTGCAAAAGTGATGCTGCTCTAGGTATAAATACTCTAGAAAGTGAATGTATTACTGAAAAATATCAGTGCTGTTTTTAGTCTAGGACTTCCCTGGTGGCTCAGTTAGTAAAGAATCTGCCTGCAAAGTGAGAGACCTGGGCTCGATCCCTGGGTTGGGAAGATCTCCTGGAGAAGGGCATGGCAACCCACTCCAGTATTCTTGCCTGGAGAATTCCATGGAGAGAGGAGCCTGGTGGACTACAGTCCATGGGGTTGCAAAGAGTTGGACACAACTGAGCGACTAAGCATAGCACATTTTTAGTTTTCAGGGTGTATCACTCCCCACACTCCTGCTACTGAGAACCGGGGCTGGGTGATGTAATGTCAGCAGAAAGAGGGGAAGAGTCACTGGAGGGTCCTTTTATAAGCCCCAGCTCTTAGGGTTAGGGTTGTGAAAAAAGTAAGGGGGCTGCTGGGGAGGGGGATGCCCTGGTGGCCCTGCAGCTCCTCACCGTGGGGGTGGGTATGAGGGCGATTGTCTCGGTGGTGGTGGTCACAGTCAAACCTGCTGTTCAGTCTCCCCAACTGCTTTTATGTTCATAGAACACAGGTTGACATTACACTTTTCTGACTTGTTTTATAGGCTATTATGCTGATAACTGGAAAGACTATTTAAGGGAGGGGGATCCTCCTATGATTAAAGCATTCTTTGACACAGATGAGGAGAAACCCTTCTGCAGTGAGTGGTGAATGTGCTTGTTTGCTCTTGCCCGACTCTTTTCTTTTTGGAATGTCTAAGTCTGAGCTTCCTGGTCACTTCTTGGCACATGAAGGCCATGGTGAAGCATGGACTTTGGAGCTGGAAGGACCTAGGTTGAATCTTGACTCTACCACACAACAGCTGTATGACCAAGACATTTAACCTCTCTGAGTCTCAAAGTTCTGCTTGGTAAAATGGGGACAATCATGCCTACCTTCTGGGTTATAAGAATTAAAATCTCAACAAGTCATAGTTGTTAGCTCTACTGGATGGCCATTCTAATTACTAAGATCTTCCAGAAAATTTGCTTTAGACACAAGGTTATGACTAGGAAAAATTGGCGTCAGTCATATCTATAGGCCAATTCCAGCTCCAAAGTAGCCACAGTGACCTTCTAAAGACATTGAGAGGTTGGGTATTCAAGATGGAAGCTAAATAGGCCAGCAGATGATTAGATGCCCTAGGAAGCAAGTGGGAATTCCCCTGGGTAGACGTACATCTTACAATCTTATCTCCCTTTTCACTTTGCTTGGGAGTCTCCCTTATAAAGGAGGTTGCACATCACCAGATTTCCCTCCTCTTTTGGAGCATCTGTAGCAGCTCAGGGTTTGGTATTTGCCTGATCCAAATGGGACAAGTTCCTGAGTAATAACAGGCCACGAAACAGCAACTCCATGGCTGATGTTATTCCCTCGTAGGACTGTCATCTCCCTGAGCCTCTTCGCCCTTCTCTGCAAGTCTGACCCAGAGATAGTAAATTTGACTATCATGGTGGGATCCCCACTTTTCCAGATCATTCTTGACCTTGGGGAGCAAAGAGTAGGTAGGAAGAAAAGTTCTCTGGACATGTTATGTGCCCTTGTTCATCCAGTAGGAATTAATGGGTATCAACTGGAGATGGAAATGGCAACCCACTCCAGTATTCTTGCCTGGAGAATCCAATGGACGGCTGTCAGGCTACATGTGGGTCCATGGGGTCACACAGAGTCGGACACGACTGAAGCGACTTAGCAAGCAAGCAAGCAATGCATATCAATAAGTATTTCTGCTGGGATTACAAAGGAAGCATCATCCCTTCCCAGTTAATGTTGTAGCATTAATGTATTTTAGCTTTGTTTTTTTAATCCCGTAAGACATCACACAGGCAATATTTGCATGGATATACACATTCATTTATCACTTTTTTGGTTATCATTTTTCTTGTATTTTGTAAATACAGTAAAGTGTGCTGACTAATGAGGGGAGAATACCAGAGCATAATAAGAACTCTGAGAGAGACCTGACTTAGTCTGATCGTCAGTGAAGGCCTCCTTGAGGAAGTGCATTAAGTCAAAACCTGAAGGATGAATTGGAAAAGGGGACAAAGCCCAGACACAAGAGAGAGTATGGCAGTGCAGGTGGTGTGGCATGACTGGGGCAGAGACGAGGGAGGCTGGGTAGGTTTGTGGACATGACCCAGACTGAGGAAGGCCTTGTCAGCTGTTGAGGGTCTCCACATGGCCCCCTATTTAGTTTATTCTAAAATGGGCAGAAATTGTGGTGCATCAATCATACTTGGCAGTAGGCCATGAGACTTCAGTCAATAATGTGGGAACACTGATCCAAGAGTGGTGCCTGAACATGGCAACTGGATACCATTGAGTTCTGCCATCACTCAGGCCATCTTTACCAAAGAGAATAGAGAGAAATATTGGAAAATTCTGCCCTGAATCTTTGCAGAAAAACTAGAGAGGAAGGGAAAAAAGAGACCTAGTTATTAGGTAGGTCAGGTTTTTAGGAACTGAACATTCAGGAAAGCATTTGGGAATATTTCTCTCACACCATGATTTCTCCCTGTTTTGAAGTATATCATTACTTTGTGGATATTATAACCTGGAATAAGAACATAAGAAGAGGATCCATTACAATCAAATTGAAAGATAAAGCTGGAAACACAACAGAATCCAAAATCAATCAGTAAGTTGGGTTAGGATTATTTGCAACTTGCTACTTTCTTTTTTGTTCGGAGAAGTTAAATTCCAAATATATCAACTTTTTAATCATAGAACTGTATGTGACTTTGTCCTGTGAAAGATATAAAGGAATATGTTGCTTTGTGGCTCTTGATCTTTCAGACTCTTTACAAATGGAACTGGTGCAGAAATTTTCTTTCCTTCTACTTTCCTTCTCCACTTCTTTCTCCCTCCCTTTCCTCCTTTCCTCCCTCTTCTCCTTCCTTCCCTTTTTTTCCCTTCAAATTCTTTCCCCATTTAGGTTGTTATATAATACTGAGCAGAGTTCTCTGTGCTATATAGTAGGTCCTTGTTGGTTATCCATTTTATTTTCTAAATAACTTTATTTATTTACTGTCTGTGCTGGGTCTTCATTGCTATGCGCAGGTGAGTGGAGCTACTCTCTAGCTGTGGTGTGCAAGCTTCTCATTGTGGTGGCTTCTCTTGTTGTGGAGCACAGGCTCTAGGCATGTTGGCTTAGAGCTTAGTTGCCCCACAGCATGTTAAATTTTCCCCGACCAGGGATTGAACCCGTGTCCCTTGCATTGGCAGGTGGATTCTTATCCATTATACCACCAGAGAATCCCTGGTTATCCATTTTAAATATAGTAGTATCTACATGTCGATCCCAAACTCCCTAACTATCCCTTCCTCTCATTCCTCTCCGCTGGTGACCATTAGTTTGTTCTCTAAGTCTGTGAATCTGTTTTGTAAATAAGTTCATTTGTATCATTTCTTTTTTATCATACCAGATTTCTCTTTCTCTGTCTGACTGACTTTACTCAGTATGACAATCTCTGCTACTACTGCTACTGCTAAGTCACTTCAGTCGTGTCCAACTCTATGCGACCCCATCCCTGGGATTCTCCAGGCAAGAACATTGGAGTGGGTTGCCATTTCCTTCTCCAATGCATAAAAGTGAAAAGTGAAAGTGAAGTCGCTCAGTCATGTCTGATTCTTCAGGACCCCATGGACTGCAGCCTACCAGGCTCCTCCGCCCATGGGATTTTCCAGGCAAGAGTACTGGAGTGGGGTGCCATTGCCTTCTCCGAGGTTTGCTTAAACATTTAATCACAAAAGTCATCCCTGCTCACTGTAAACGATTTAAAGCAGTAAGGAAATATGTGACATAAGAGTCCAAACCCCTGCCACATCCCAACCATCTCATGCCCAAAGGCACCCACTCACACACATACATTTCTATTATTTTCTGAGCTCATAATATACATATATACACAAACATATATATGTATGTTTCTGACACTCAGAAAATGTATTTTGCAATAGAAAATTGGAAAAATCCTGTAAGTCCAATGATGGGGAAATTGTTAAATATTCCCATATAATAAACATTATTCAAGTAAGTTATTTATGAAACATTAAATGAAATGCTTATAATGCACTAAGTGGAAAAAATAAAGTTATATTTTATAAAATCATATACAGTATACAACTAGCACAACAATGTCAAAATAATGAAAAAGAAGCATGTCAAAATAAGTTAGATTGCCCCTTGGGTGGAAGGGATGTGAGTCCTTTCTAAAGTTTCTCTTTCCTTTTCAGTTTTCTGTGCTGTTGTATATATATAGTTTAAAAAGAACTAATAATTTTTTCTTCTATTACTTCTATAATCAATAAAAAAGGGGGGAAATCCCCAAACCTTTTAATTTAAGCAAAAGCATTTGAGACTCATTTCATTCATTTACTCAGGAGATGTTTCCTGGGTTCTTTTATCTTCTGGATACTTTTATTGTCTCTTGGCCTCATTCATAGAGGACCATGTATAATGTCATCTGAAACTGGCGATCATCTTATTGGCTGGCTCACTGTGCAGATAAATAGGGAAGGTGTGGGGGTTCTTTTTGGCCATACCATGTGGCTTATGGGGTCTTAGTTTCTTAACCAGGGATTGAATTCAAACCCTCAGCAGTGAAAGTGCAGAAGCCTAACCACTGGACCGCCAGGGAATTCCTTGTAAGTGACTTTTTCAAACACATCCTTGGAACATAATAATAGCAGCCTTTGTTTATTGAACCAAGCACATTACAGACAGTGGTTAATGTAGCTCTCACTAAAACCCTGTGAGGTGGTATTACCATCCCTATTTTATATATGAGAAAACTGAGGCTCAGAGAGGGCAAGCGATTTGGCCAATTTCACACTCTTTTCAGCATCAAAATCCCCGGAGGGAACTGCTAGGGGCCCCATCTTGAGAAACCAGTCTCAGGTTTCTCAAGGTTTATAGGCTTCATTGAGAAAGGTGGGCAGAGCCCTCATCTGGAGAGTCTAAGAAACCGCAGGGAGACTGCAGTTCTATGAGGAGCAAAACTTGGGTTACATATTTGCTTTACATGTCTTGGAAATTTGAATTTTATATCGTAAATTTCTCCCAAGTAGGAATTCCTAAATTTGGAGGCTTCTTTCTTTCTTTTATGGAGGCTTGTTTCTTGATTAAGATAGAGAGCTTAATATCTTTTTAAAGTCATGTTCAGTCATTTCTATTTTAGTTATATTTGTGAAAAAGTCACCACCGATTAGAGAATATATGGGGAAAAAAGTTAAATGATTGTTCTATTTTGTGGTAAGATTATGGCTGCTTTTCTTTCTTTTGCCAGGTAAACTTTAACATTTTAGTATTCAGTATCTTTACAGTTTAAGAAAAGGAAAATAATATTAGGGTATGTACCTTGAATTTTGGGGGCTTTCTGGATAGCTCAAACAGCAAAGAATCTGCCTGCAATGCAGGAGACCTGGGTTCAGTCCCTGGGTTGGGGAGATAACCTGAAGAAGGGCATGGCAACCCACTTCAGTATTCTTGCCTGGACAGAGGAGCATGGTGGTCTCCAGTCCAAGGGGTTGCAAAGAGTCAGACATGACTGAGAGACTAACACAGACACACACAGACACACAGACACACAGACACACACACACACACACCACACAGCTAGAGTTTATTCAGTCTTACCAGACAGTGGGCACATATGAAGTCACATTCAAGGATATTACTTGCCTGTTGATTCTCCCTCTATACATGATTCAAATATATTTCTTATTTATTTAACCTTTAAAAATTCTGATATAATTCACATACCATAAAATTCACCTTTTTAAAGTTTGTAATTCAGGGGGTTTTAGTATATTTACAAAACATGAAACCATCAATACCATCTAATTTCAGAGCATTTTCGTCATCTCAAAAAGAAACCCCATACTTGTCAGTAGTAATTCCCCATTCCTTCCTCCTGGCCGGCTCCTGCCAACCACTAATCTGCTCTCTGTTTTGTAGATTTTTCTATTCTAGGCATGTCATATAAATGGATTCATACAATATGTGGCTTTTTTTTTTTTACTTTACGTGATATTTTTAAGATTCATCTATGTTGTGGCATTCATTAGTACTTCATTCCTATTTATGGCTGAATAATATTCTGTCGTATGGATATTCCATAATTTATTTTGATCCACTGAGCTCTGGCTCAGCAAGCTTCCACTGCACAGTCTGCCCACTCATACCACATTTTATTTACCCATTCACCAGTTGATGAACATTTAGGTTCTTTCTGCTTTTGGCTGTTATCAATAATGCTGCTATGAACATGTATGTACAGGTTTTTGTGTGGATATAGGTTTTCATTTTTCTTGGGTATATACCCAGGAGTGGACTCTCTTGTTCATACAGAACTTTGTGTTTAACTTTTCAAAGAAGTTATACCAAACTATTTTCAAAAAAGGATGCACCATTTTACTCTCCCTCCAGCAATATATGAGAGTTCCATTTCCTCCACATTGCCAAGATTCTTATTGTTAGTCTTTTAAGACTTTGCTTTTAAATTATAATTAAGAAACCCATAAAATTACCATCTTATCATGTTTAAGTGTACAGTTCCTTATTAAGCATGTTCACATTGTTGTGAAACAGATCTCCAGAACTTTCACCTTGAAAAACTGAAACTCTATATCCATTAAATAAAAATTTCCATTTCCAATAGCAACCATCATTGTACTATTTTGATGAATTTGATTGCTTTAGGTACATTATGGGATTCCTGGTGGCTCAGTGGTAAATAATCCACCTGCCAGTGCAGGATATGCAGGTTCGATCCCTGCATCAGAAGATTCCCTGGGGGAGGGCATGGCAACCCACTCCAGTGTTCTTGCCTGAAGAATCCTATGCACAGGTGCCTGGTGGGCTACAGTCTATGGGGTCACCAAGAGTCAGACATGACTGAAGCGACTTAGCACGCAGCAGAGAGACATCATATGAGTTGAATCATACAGTATTTGTCCTTTCGTGATCGGCTTTTTTCACCTAGCATCATGTCCTCAAGTTTTGTTCATGTTACAGCTTGTGTCCATGTTACAGAATGTCCTTTCTTTTAAGATTGAATAATATTCCATTGGGCTTCCCTGATAGCTCAGTTGGTAAAGAATCTGCCTGCAGTGCAGGAGACCCTGGTTTGATTCCTGGGTCAGGAAGATCCACTGGAGAAGGGATAGGCTATCCAGCCCAGTATTCTTGGGCTTCTCTTGTGGCTCAACTGGTAAAGAATCCGCCTGCAGTGCGGGAGACCTGGGTTAGATTTCTGGGTTGGGAAGGTCCCCTGTAGAAGGGAAAGACCACCCACTCCAGTATTCTGGCCTGGAGAATTCCATGGACTGTGTAGTCCACGGGGTCACAAAGAGTCAGACAACGACTGAGCAACTTTCACTTTCACTGTCAGTATTTCATTGTATATATACATCACATTTGGAGAAGGACATGGCAACCCACTCCAGTACTCTTGCCTGGAAAATCCCATGGACAGAGGGGCCTGGTAGGCTACAGTCCATGGGGTTATGAAGAGTTGAACACCACTGAGTGACTTCACTTTCACTTTACACCTTCATGCATTGGAGCAGGAAATGGCAACCCACTCCAGTATTCTTGCCTGGAGAATCCCGGGGACAGAGGAGCCTGGTGGCTGC